AAAAAAAAAAAAAAAATGTTTTTTCTGCGCCAATGAAAATAAAAATATGGAAACACTGAAGTGACTGCATTCGATTAGAATCTTGGCCAAATTTTTAAACCAGGACAGCATTACTCTATAAGTTCTTTATTTCAAATTCTGTTTGTTAGAGCATCGCCTGAAAGCATGCTTTGGTTTCCAATGGCTGTCTTTGGCTAAAATTTTTAGGCCAGGATAACATTCCTGTATATCATCATTTATTTGCTATTTGGGAGTCTTATTTGACGAGAATGCATAAACTGTATGCTTTGGTTTCCAATGGCTGTCTTGATTGGGACAACATGTTTTTATTTTTATCTTTTATTTATTTCCAGTTTATAATTGGTACCTCTGTTCAAAAACAATCAGTGATTTTTCCCCCTTATTTTTCCTCCGTTAATGTTTAATGATTTTACACTTTATATCTGGATCCGTACTTTATAACTAATAGAAAAAAAATGAGTCTAAAATGAGAGAAATTATTCTGTGCAGAAGTCGAAAGCCGTCCAGAAACCAATCAAAATGAGTCATGTTGGTACCTCGGCTCGATACCGCTCGGTATTGTTGACGTCTCTTATTCTGGTTGGTCTCTGGATGCAGAGCTGCGTTCGGCGTCCGCACAGAATAACTTTTCCTAAAATGGAGAAATTATTACATGTGGACTGCTACCGACTGTAGCTCTATGTGTGGAGTGTTGGAATACACAACTGTGTATTCTATTTTTTAAAGTACAAAACTATTTATTAAGCACACAACAAGTATCCAACTGTGTGCTCCTATAACTTTTTTTGGAAGAATGTACTACTATAACGTGCATAATAATTTCTCTCTTAAGTGAATGTCATAGGTTCTAATAATAGAAAAACAAAATCTCCCAAAATAAAGGTAAGTTTACGTGCATTTCCCTTTTTGCAGTTATAACTGTAAAGATTATTCTAAGTAGGTGGTATTAGAGATGAACATTTAACGTATAGCATTCTAATTTCACTTACAAATGTCTTGGATTGCCATTGCCGTAAGCTGCGTTTGCCTCTTGATCTATGCAAAATTAAGTTGTCTTAATAGCTTAGGTGAACTGATAATATGCTGTCCCAGAATTGATGTTCCAATATTACAAGTTATAAATGCATGGTACCTATGCCATTCTTATATATTTCTTCGTGTTGGGTTGCACAGTTTTTTTTTGCTTACATAATTAGCTACCTGCATGTATAAAATATTGGTGTTACTGAAAAGCATGATGCATAACAAAGCCCTACATAGGGTCCTGATTGGGTACCCATGTTTTACTCAGAGAGGCTTCGCCCACCCACGCCCACCTATGGTGACTTTCGGGATGTTGTACCCACATATACCCACCCACTTTCCATGCTTTTTGAACGCAGTCTGCCACAGACTGATGGCCTTGAGGCTTGTTGCCCTTTGCTCTGATTGCAAACTTTCTAGCCGCATATAAGAATTTACCGTAGTTGCAGCGTGGTTAAGTGCTGCACACTACATAGTGAGGATTATAGTAGTATAAGATATACAGTGGTTAACAATGTAAATTAATTTTTTCCCCGATGTTAAGTACCCACCCACAAAGTCATGGGCGTACCCAAAACCACCCATACCCAATGGATATGAGTGAGTACACGGGTGAGTGTTGGTATTGATAACCAATGTAGGGCTCTGATGCATAATTTGTATAGGTATCACGAACCATTGGGGACTACTACCTGAAAAACCCTGAATTCAGCAGAAGCCCACTGTACCAACAGCTCTTCCCTTCCGCCACCCCATTCAACCGGCCTGTTATCACATCCGAGCCATCTGTTGGGAGGCGCAGGCTGAGACCTCATGACTTGTTCGTGATATTCGCTTCAGATGGCCTTTGGGAACAACTAAGTGATGAAGCTGCCGTTAAGATGGTCACTAGGAATCCAAGAGCAGTTAGTTCTTGCTCCCCTTCCACAGGGGAAATTATCAGGTGCGGACACTGGATCTAGAGATGCGTCCGGATTATTGGATGCACTGCGTACGCTCTGCGTACACTCTGCTTATACTCTGCGTACGTTCTGCTTACACTCTGTTTAGAATCTGCGTATTTGTAGATACACAATAAATAAACAACAAATCCTCACAATTAAATATTTGCTGCTTATTTACTGCAATACGCAGTAAATACGCAGAGCGTAAGCAGAGGATACGCAGTATCGGGAGACATCTCTGGATCAAGTGTATGCACCTAATAATTTCCCCTTCCACAGAAGCATATAATTCCATTTCTTCATTTTTGTGTAACTGTAATATTTGTGCAGGGAATTGCGAAGAGGTTGGTCAGAGCAGCGCTTAATGAGGCCGCAAAGAAGCGCAATATGAGTTACGGTAGCCTGAAAGGAACACCCAAAGGAGAAAGGCGTCAAATTCATGACGACATCACAGTTATTGTGATATATCTTGATCATCATTTTACTGGTGAGAATTTCCATTGCACCAACGCTCCTGTGGATATGTTCTCTCATGAACCACAGGATTATGGCGATGGCTTTTTTCCCTGAGTTGTGAAGAATTGAAGATTGTAGAGCAGCGATGACATCCCTCACAACATGCTCAGCTATCTGCTCTGTAAAAGAACTAAGTTTTTTCTTGTTTGGTGAAAGAGCTGCAACGCCAGGTACCTGTGTGGCAATTATTGAGGGCAGTTGATCTGCATGTTTTTTTAGGGTTTTTTTCTTATTTGACATCAATGTTGGTGTTTGCTCATATGCTGAACTTGGCAAAATAGTTTGCAGAGTTTCGTGATGCAAGGCGTTACCTGCTTTTATGGATTGTCTGGCTATATATTATTTCTTTCTTTATTTAGGTTTCATTTTGAACGATTTTCTTACTGCTTCTTAAAGAAGCTTTTTAGCACAAAAATTTTAATATAATTTTTGTATTAAAAAATTGTTTTAAGAAGCAAACAAAACACCATCTCAAAAGAGAATTTTTATTGGGTCAGGTAACCTGATATAGAGATACATCAGGCACCCAATAAAAAAATACCACATGCATTAGTTTTCATTAGCTTTACTGGGCATGATAACACTACAAAGAGTGGTAGTGGAAGGTTTTTATTGAACTGAAGTTAGTATATCTCATAAATCATTTTCTCAAAATTGAACGAGCTTTAGGGTTTTAATTTAATTGGATGGTTTTGCTCTGTTGATCAATTTGACTCCTGTTGTTGTTGAATTTGCCACTTTTATGCTACCAATGATTGTTGGGCCAATCGAAGGGTGTGATTTGTACCATTTCTTTTCAATCATTTGAGAGCGTAATTATGTAGAAATTATTGTTAAAATTATAAAGAACATTCCAACATTTTTTATCTCCATTTATAAATAGACTCCAAATTCAATTCATTTGAGCATTATAACATTTAGATTGTGTAACTTTGGCCATTGTTTGATGTTCCAAGGTCTTTGCCACCTATGTCTATATAATAATGTACTTCTTAACCATCCTCGAGCATTTTTACTATCTTCTCTCAATATTTTTAATGTTGTCTCTAGGTCTAACAATTTTCGCTTAGCGGTGGAAGATCATTGCAACCACCCTCAATTACTTCCAAGATCTTTTTATGTATTCATAATGATTATAAATATCAATAATTTTTTTAGTAGATTTCAGATTAGAGTAAAACAATCAAATCAAACACAAAAGACATTTCAATTTTTAAAAAGAGCCTCATATGAAAAAGGTTAGGAGGGTCTTGTACATTTTTTTCAAGAGAGGAGAAAAAAAAAAATGTAATGGGCAGAGGAGAATTAAGTAAGTTGTTAATCAGTCAATAAACAGACGAGCAATTATTACGTCCGATCACCGAATGCATTAATAGACCAATAACCACGCGCCACGTCACCTAAAACTTGATATTGAGCACTCGGTATTGCTCGGCATGCATTCGGATACGTTCGGATTTCACCGGACGTAATAATTACTCTAAACAGAAAGATGAAAGACAGCGATGAAAATTGGAAGGATAATGAATTCATGTCTTATCAGATTCTCTCTCTCTCTCTCTCTTGTTGGACGCTATAATTTATAAAATATGACATTGAATTTTATACATTGGGGGAGCACAGATTTCAAACTCCACCCTCCATCTAATACATAGCACTCAAACCCAAATATATTACTTGCTATGGTAGTAAGCCAAATTAGAATTTTTGCTAAATCCACATTAAGTAGTCATGCAATTTAATAAAGCTATTTTGAGCACTATCAACTAATATTTCTCCATTTCATAGAGAGGAATGTGATAACTGCAAGAATAACAAAAATCCTAATTAGTCTAGGATCATTGTGACTTCATTTGAGACAGCTTTCTATTTCTTTCAAAAGCATTTTTTTAGTACAAAAATTTTTAGCTCAAAAAATTTTAAAATAAAAAAATGTTTTAAAAAATAATTAGAAAACTCTCTCAAACAAACGATTAATTATTCTATGCGGACGCCGAACGCCATCCAGAGACTAACCAGAATGTGTCACGTCACCCCTTTACTGGGTACCGCGGCTCGGTACCATTGCCGTGGCTGCACCTGATTCGCCTCCGAACATAGAGCTACGTTCGGCCTCCGCACAGAATAATTTCTCCAAACAAAGGAGGCCTTAGGAAACTAGACAATGAACACAATCATTGACATTCAATAAACTCAATTCATCATACTGTAAAGAAAACTACATTAAAAAAAAAAAAAAAAAAAAAAACTGCACGAGGTTCATATGTTTTTACCTGAGAAATCCCGTTCGCATGCTGTCCTTGCTCCCCAATACTTTTTTCATCTCTATTTATCTTTCATTTATCCAACAGATATTTGTTTAATAATTCACAAACAAGAAGCAGGTCTTCATTTTTTATCAGGAAATCAGTTGTAAGACATTTTTCACCATATATTCTTTGGATGGCATTAGTAACATAAATCTTACAGGGAACAAATGATATTTTTCTTGTTAGAGCATCGATTTTGTATTGCCTATCTTAGCTTCATTTCACTCAGTCCATTCCTTTGTCATCCAATCTATCAATAAACGCATCTATCACGACTTTTGAGTTCTTCAGCTCTTCAATCTGCAACACGGAAAAAAAAATGCAAATTTATAAATCAAAATAGATGGAATATAAAATCTGCAGGAATAACAATTCGTGAAACGTAGCAATTTAGGAATTTTTAGCAGTTCCATTAAATAATCTCAGAGGCAAATTCATTATGAAAAGGAAGTTTAGCGAAATAATACAAAGGCATTTTAACAGATGGCAACGAATTTAAAGAGTATTTAGTTAACTCAGATCTCACAAATTCAAGAGAAATTATTCTGTGTGGACACCAGACGGGAGAACAATCCAGTTTACACTTAGGTACCAAGCGGTACCGAGGCTCGGTACTGGGCGTGATGCATTTTCATTGGAGTCTAAACTCCGCACAGAATAATTTTTCCAAATTCAGCCCTAGAAACCAGTATTATCGTCCTGCTTACTCTAGAAACTGATAAAATTGTTGTGTGACTCAATATTGTACCTGGGGGCAGCTTGGGGAGGACAATGTTGTTGTTGAAGTAGTTCGCATGCATTCTTGGAAACTACTATTTAGATTTAGGTTTTGTTTGGGACAGCTTTTTATTGTTTCTTAAAACAATTTTTTAGTACAAAATTTTCTGATTCAAAAAATTTTAGAAAGCAGTAAGAAAACTGTCCCAAACGATGCCTTAATTGAGTTATTAAGGGGCAGGAATTCAAGTGCAGAGATGGCAGGAGATTGAGAAACATCGAAGGAATTAGTCAGAGAGACTGGAATTTGAATTTGTTTTATGAGGATCAATAATTATGGAGGCTAGAAGGGGGACATTGAAGCCTATTTGGTCTGAATAAATGAATTAATTTTTTAATTATCATGAAGTGGGGTTTGGGACATCAATGGCCTAAATATCTGAACATCAATGCCCTAAATATCCGGACAACAACCTGAAGACATTGGAATAAACTTAGTTGTTCAAAGAGGTAAATTCTTAAATGCACTTGTAAGGCATAAAGCCCCATGTTCGTAAACATGGACTTAAAATTATCCTCTTAGGCAAACATTCACCCCAAATATATAAAGCCCCATTGGACCAAGCAACTCATAGCTATCAAAAAGAATCATTTAATCAGTTTAGATTGATTATCATTGCTCACTAAGTAGATCAAGGTCAATGATAACTTAGGACTATGAAACCATGATATCTTGATCAAATTTCTCATTATTCCCCCTAACATCCGCTCGAAGCTGAAGGTGATATGTTTTCTCAATTATAAACAAAAATCACTGTCATTATAAGCTAAGCAATTAGTATTTAATGATAAGCCATAATCAAAAGTTCTCTTGTCATTGGAAAGGGAACATATAGGGGCTTATGCTTATAAGAAAAGAAGAAATATGAAACTAAATCATAAACAAATCACAAAATAAGGATGGAATTTCTAGATAGTTCCTCATCTACAATATAATCTAGCTTTTGAAAATTTAACCCAAAAACAAAAACAAACTTTCTCAAAAGTGCCAGAAGCTAATTTTCAAAGCCCACATGCAGCTCCTGGAGGTATGTAGTACAGTTTAGTGTATATAACTAAAGATCAAAAGTTAAAATTGTCTCTAGACTATTTATATGAGAGTATTTTAGTTATAGACTATGTAAGGTATATAATTTAGTTCCTTAGCTACTCAAATCTCATCCAAAATGATTCCTTGACTCTTCAAATTTGATCCAAAATAATCAAACAGTGGGTCTATTTTGGATTATATTTGGAAAGTTAAATGACTAAATTAAACAAATTTACACTCTCAAATAAAAATGGCCCCATACAAATAGTCCAGTGACAATCTTGATATTTCTCTCTAATAACTAGAAAACACTCTTGCATTGCAAGGGATGATTAAATTAATAAAAATAAAACTAAATTGTTAGTTGTATCGTCTAGGTTCAAAGACACTCAACTAGTCAATTTTGTTTAAATCAGTTTGTATTAGACCAAAGCAGACTCTTAGTATCACTACTTGGTATATGATAATAAATTAATAATAATAATAAGGAATATCAAGAACAACTATACATTAGAATGTTTTTATTTTTATTTATTTTTTTGCATAGCAACTTGGAGCAGTGCTAGCATTAGTTGGCACAATGCGTATTAAGTTATAAGAGTAAGTTTATATGCATCTTTATCCATTTTTTAACAGGTTCATGTATTTTACATCTATGAGATTATATGAAGTTAAAAAAATTCCACATAGTTAACATAGAACCTAAAGGTGCAATATGGAATCATGAAAGTGAGCCTAACTTGCTTGCATACAGGAAGACATTACCATATCAGGAATTAAATATCAACCAAACGACTGAACGAGACCAGAAAATAAGCGAATAAATCTATACATCCTCACAAAAAAGATTAGTCACGTGTTTACTTTGAATTATTTGTTACCTCTTTGCATTTTTTCTTGTAAGATGTGGAGAGCTCGTCATACATTAACTGTAGATCTGACTTCTCAGCTTGAAGCTTTTCATACTCGGAAATTGACGGACCACCTAATTTTTGTTGAACAAATCTGAAAGAGAAAACACATATATTCCGCTAATGAAATGGTAAGATACTGCCATTCAAGCTGTAAAATTTCATAGATAATGCTCCTGAGCAGAAAGCCTTTTCCTCATAGAATCCGCCACCATAAAATAATATTCTAAGAAACAATCACGTACCCAAATGACTATTATCTAAGACATACGTACACTTCAATGTGGTTAGATAACTTGTAAAACAGAAAACAAATAGAACTGAAATGCTAAGGTATTAAAAAGCTCACTCCACAATGGGAAGAAACATAAAAGGCACTAGCTGATGCAATATATCGATTAACATTATTCTAGGATATCCTAGATTATTCTAATATTTTTGGACTATTTCTAAAACTTTTTTTATATCATTTAAATGTATTTAACTTTAGGATTGTCTTCTTTATAAATTACATGATAGAATTTTTAGAAAGTATAGGTTTAAACTTTAACTTAGTTTGATTATAAATATAATCCTCACAGCAACCCTCATGATATTCACAAAATCAGAAATCCTCCTCTCATGGTTTCTCTTTCATGAATGTTTCTCTCTTTCTCTCCTCATAGAAGTATGATTGCCATAGCACCTGGGACCAAGTTTCAAAACCTCTTGCACTAAAATCCTTCTCCATCATGATTCCCAAGATCGAAAAGTCCTAATTCATCCCTCGATAAATGGGTTGAGTACTCTGGAATGTTCTAAAATAGTGTGAATATTTGGAGAGTATTCTAGGATACTCTAGAACTCTTAAGAACATTGTAATATAAGTAGGGAATAGTGTGGAGTGTTTTAGAGAACTCCACACCCATGTATTTTGGATGAAATTCTAGAATGTTCTTAGGCATGGGAGGGGTATAAATAGGATCCTCCCTCTTCATTTGTAACCATCTCCCAAAACTCTCCACATCTCCCACATCTCTCAACTGGTGGCATCGAAAAATTCCCTGAATTTAAATATGTTAGTTCCACAATTACAGCCTATCCTTGATAAAGACAAGTCAATGCTACTTCGGGCTTTGTATATTAAATTATTGGTAATTCTACTTTAATCTGTTTCTTTCTAACATGTAATTTTATTGTTATGTTCAAATCTAAATCGTTAATTAAGTTATTGCTCTCAATCTACATGATAATGCCAAAGCTAGGATAATAATACTTTGAAATAAATTAGGAGTGTGAGTTATATGATCATTAGCTCAAAGTTGTTAGTTCAATTGGAGAAGTTATTCATGTTAAAGTATAAAATCCATCAATCTAGAATTGGCCTACTAAGTATGTATTTTTCCCCTTTTCTTTTCCTTTTGCAACAGCTACAAGCACAAGCTGCTTGGGAGTTGAATCAAAAGAAATACTTATCTCATGCTCCGGTTGTTCCGGAGTATAAGATAGATGTGAATGGAGGACATGTTGCCCAAGCATATGTAATTGGTGGCAGCGCAGTTAACAATTTGGGATCATTATCAAAGGTTTATACGAAAGCACTTAGCAATACACAATAACATCTACCAACAGTAAAAACATTATTTACAATGTGTGGAAGTAGTTTTTAAGATCATGCATATGTTAAGCCATCCATTAGCACCACATCAACTTCACTTAAACTGCAGAATCAAAGTTCAAAAATGAGGAAACCAATGGTAAACCCATCCATTGCTTCTTCAATAGCAGTGTCAACTCAGCCCATGAATATTGCAACTATTCAAAACTATGAGATATACAAAGCTGTAAAAAATCATAAGAATATACATTATGGATATACTTCTCAGATGCTGAATCAGCATCATAAACAAGTTGCACAGCAAACGATATCATCTAGCATTGCCATTAAAGAGCCCGCTTGTAGTTCACAAACAACAGACTATGTAGGGCAAGATTCTATAGACCATGATCTTGAATTTTTAAATGAACATCAGTTTTCAGTGCCACAAAGTACTGTAGCATCAGTTTATGGGGACAAAGGACACGAAACTTTGAAGTATGAATTACATGAAAAGAAGTTTTCTAATGCATACTGTCCTATTAACTCATCAGCTATAGGCAAAACGACAAGCCCTGCAGCGATTTTTACCAATTCAATAATACAGTTTAGCTTCTAGTCCAAATTGATTTTCTGCAACAAAGTATAGTTTTACCTCAGCTCACCGTTGAATATTTACATTCTTATGCTCTAATTTAGTTTTGATACCTTCGAGGCATCATATGTAGTTGATAAACATGATAAAATCATCACTGTATAGTGGTGGTATATCAGTTTGTTATTGATAACGAAATAGCTTTGTTGCTCTGACATTTGTGATCCACAGATCTATCGATATCAAGGGGAACTTATTTCTTCTACTTAAGTTAAATGATGAGATATAGTACCCATCTGAAGTCAGATTTACGGGTATGAACATGATATGATATTGATATTTTTGTATTAAAAGGAAACAATACACTTAAAGTTGTTACTTATGGTTCTTAATTAGAATAAAATAAATATTGAGATCCTTGTGAAAAGATGATATATGATCACGCAACTATTTTTTCAAATGTTTTATATAATGTCTGAATTGTTTAATGTTCACCTCAGTAACTGCACCAAGGTTGACCTTATCGAATATTGATACGTCATTGTGCGAAAGAAGAAGCGTTGTGTGAATGTTATTCAAAATGTGTTGACTAATAGCTGAAATCATCCGAAGAGTGTCTGTTAAACAAACAGACCATCAAGACATGTTTGGGATAGTAGAAATCTTGGAGCCCAACCTTGTGTTTTGATGATCACAAATATTATTAGAAGTTCATTTATCCTTTTCTATTTTATACATTACATTTTTTTTCAGGTTCAACATACACAAAGCACCGTCAAAAAATCATAGCTCAAAAAAATATTGTGTTGGTCAGTTATACTTTGAAAGAGTATGTATATTGTAATAGGTGTATATTAGCTTAGCAATCGTGCACACACACAAGGTGGAATGTAGTTAAATATTTTAATTTTTATGAAGATTGTGCTAGACTATTTTGATAGTACTACACGATCAGTGCAATAAAAAATTAATCAAAATGTTTAATTAAATGAGATTAATTTATAATGTGCCATAACTAATCGTATTGTACGATCACAACATCATACTAGACGATCATCTATATTTAATATCCCCACCATCATTTAAATGAGGCAATAATTTGAATTTTGAAAGGTGTTCTAATCGCACAGTACAAACTAGTTCGTGTTGTACTAAGTTTAAAAATCTTGTCAAATTTAATCCTTATAATTAAGCAATTGAATCAAGATTAATTAAGATTGATAATCATACTAGAAAATAGGTAGAGTAACTATCTGTACGATAATTAATCATACTAGGGTTCGTACTATACGAAATACTATTTAATTGAACTAATCGTACGTAACAATCTTGAATCGTACAACAAAGAATGAACTAATTGCACTGTAGGAATAGAAGCAACAGAATTAATAATTAGGATTTATTAAAGCTCTCTATATAAACTCTTATTATAACTTCAAAAGAGTCTTTGGGCAATCAAGGGTTTCTATTTCTTCTGTCAGAGAGCTTAGAGAAAGAGCATTGAGCAAATGAGAGAAAGGGTGAGTTGTGTGAGAGGGAGAATATTTTTGAGGGTTTCAAGGGAGTGTGAGAAGAGTTTTCAAATGGTTGCTCCAGCAGACTTGCACTTGAGATCCTCCTATAGTGTTGGTGTTTGTCCTGAGAGAAGCTTTGTGAATGAAAGCCTTTGGTGCCAAAGACCGTCGGCGACTCCGTTGGACTGAGGAGGTGAGAGGACTTAGCGACTCTGCTAGACCGAGGATGTGAAAGAAGGATACGGAGAATCCACCGAACCAAGGAGGTGAAAGAAGGACATAGCGGCTTTGTTGTACTGAGGAGGAGAAACAAGTGATTCTTCGGGTGTGAAGAGTCTGTAAAGGTGCATTCTCCACCAACGGAAAAAGAGAATGGCTTCTCCGCCTAACTGTGGGCTGAAGGAGAGTCACTATATTAGTGCAATTCTTGAAAAGAGGACTTTAAGGAGTGGATGTAGGTCAAGTTGACCGAACGACTATAAAAATTAGTTTGCGCCTCTTTACTTTTCACATTTACTTTATGCATTTTACTTCACTAATGATATCTTGTATGGAAAATGAGAGTTATTTAGGTAAATTTAATAGCTAAATATATATAAGGATAATAAAGATATTTTACATAATAAATAATTATAGGTGCTCAATTATCAAAGTCGAAGTCAGAAATTTTGTGAATCAACAAGCCATTTAAATTCGAGGTGATCATTCATGTTTAAAAATTTAAAATAATAACATTGCTTCTTCTAAATTTAATGCATCATTTATTATTTAATCACTTACCATTATTATAAACTATTTATGAGTTATCTTTGTTAAATACAGTTGGTCAAATTGAATTGGATAACATAAAATTATCATAATTCAATCATTTATCATAAGCTATATATATTGTTTACTATATAATGATTTGAAATGATATGGAAAATGAAAATAAAACTATTAAGCAGAAATGTTTGTATTTGCATATTGATTGATTGATTACATACAACAATAACAACAACAACAACATCAAGCCTTTATCCCACTACATTAGGTCGGCTACATGAATCCTTTTTCGCCATTTTGTCCTGTTAAAAGTCAAATTCTCATTTAAATCTTTAGGTCTACCTCTACCTTTCTTAATATAAGTCAAATCTAATCCCTCAACTTTCCTAACCGGGTCATCGGAAGGCCTCCGTTTAATGTGACCAAACCATCTAAGGTGACTCTCTCTAATCTTATCTTCTACTGGAGCTACTCCAACCTTTTCACGTATATGCTCATTTCGTATCCTATCTCTAAGGGTAAAGCCACTAATCCACCTAAGCATCCTCATCTCTGCAATACTTAACTTAATATTATACTTCTCTTTTAATGGCCAACATTCGGCACCATAAAGCATTGCAAGTCTCACCACCATCTTATAGAATTTTACCTTAAGTTTGAGGGTGAATTTTCAATCGCACAACAAGCCCGATGCATTCCTCCACTTCAACCATCCAACTTGAATTCTGCTGATAATATCCCCATCTATTTCACCATCACTCTGAACAATACATCCAAGATATCTAAAGTGTGTACTCTTATTAATGACTTGATCGCCCAAAGTCACAATCCCCTCACTAGGTCTATTGTGGCTAAAATTACACTCCATATATTCAGTTTTAGATCTACTCAAGTGAAAAACTTTAGAATCTACGGTTGACCTCCATAATTCAAGTTTACCTTCAACTCCCTCTCTAGTCTTATCAACAAGAAGAATATCATCAGCAAAAAACATAAGGTACATCCTCTTGCAAATGTCTAGTGAGAACATCCATAACTAAAGCAAAAAGATATGGGCTTAAGATTGATCCTTGATGTAGAAAATACTTGGTCAAACCACCTTATTATGTTTGAACACAAGTAATAGCTCCTGCATATATATCTTTAATGATTTGAATATAAGTATTATTAACTACTTTCTTTTCAAAAAACTCTCCATAGCACTTCTCTTGAAACTTTATCATATGCTTTCTCTAAATCAATAAATATCATATGTAGATCCTCCTTATTATCTCTATATTTCTCCATCAAACCTCTCAATAAATGTATGGCTTCCATAGTAGACCTACCCGGCATGAATCCAAATTGATTTTGAGAAACATTAATATTACGCCGCAACCTATGATCCATAACTCGCTCCCATAGTTTTAAAGTATGACATATTAACTTAATTCATCTATAATTCGCACACTCTTGTGCATCACCTTTATTCTTAAAAATAGGAATTAACACACTCATTCTTCACTCATATGACATCTTTTTAGTCTTTAAAATAGCATTAAAAAATTTAGTAAGCTAAGAAATTCCTTCATCTCCTAAGCATTTCTACATCTCTATTGGAATATCATCAAGTCCAACAGCTTTTCCACGCTTAATTTTCTTTAAAGCCTCTTTAACTTTGGTTTTATTGATACGCCGATAAAAATAAAAATCTTTATTTTCATTTAGGGTGCTAAAGTTACTAAAGTCAATCATATTTTCACATTTTTCATTAAAAAGTTTAGCAAAGTATCTCATCCGCCTTTGTTGAATATCATCTTCTAAGAAAAGTACCTTTTGATATTCATCCTTAATACAATTCACTTGAACTAAATCCTTACTACTATCTCTTTGTTTGGCTAACTTAAACATATATCTTTCTCCCTCATTGGTATCTAATATATTATATAAATCATTAAAAGCTAAGCTCTTTGCATCACAAAAATATTTGTTTTAGTTGATATTGTGTAGGAGATTATAGGAAAAAAGGCCACAAAAATGATATTTTATTTCAGCGCCGCGGCACCCATAAATGTCGAGCGGTCACAGCATTGCTAGCACCCTAGAGCCACTCTGGAGCACTGAGGTGCAATTAAGTTTGAGAGTTTTGCAAATCAATTAAGTGCCCTAACGCCCATCCTTTAAGCACCAAAACACCAATAGCGCCCCAACGTCTACAATTGGAGCGCTAGTGCGTGCTAATCTCATAAATTTTGCACTTTAATTCAGCGCCCCATCACCGTCTTTTGGAGCACCTCAGCACCATAAAGCATTGTGCTGCCAAATCGCCTGCAGCATTGTGACAAAGAAGTTGGAGCGGTTCAATGTTGAAACGTCACGTCAATTCAAGCCAACGTCACGGCAGAGACCATCTTTCCAACGCTGAGGCGCTAGTTTGTTTATGTAACGTCGCATAGCCTATTTCAGTTTGTGCTAAGAATAAATAATTTTCTTTTTTAATTGTTGAGGGTTTGTCATCTATTTATTGTACAAAATAGCAAGGAAGTGGGCATTAAGCATGGAGGGTGATTATGCTAAAGGGAAAACAATCTGAAAAGCATCTCTTGTTTGTAATTGATAGTAAACGCTATTCCAGTGGCATTTTCTCCACTAAAACTCTTGTACCTTGTTGTAGTTGATAAAATAAAGGCTTTTTTGTTTAAACTCATTTCTATGGTTGGGTAATTCTTTAGTTTTGAGCTTGTGATGTGAATGAAGCATATTTTTTCTTCTTGTCGACTCTAGTAAATGAAATACTTCAATGTTATTTTCAATCACTTCTGATTTTTATTTAATTCATAAAAATATCATATTTGAAGTTAAAACTTAGTGTGATTCATTGCCACAATGGAGGAATGATGTTATAAATAAGAGGATTGAAATGAAAATCTTTCATACTTAGACATAAAATGAATAGGTTTTTGGGAACCATGGAGATACAATCGTTGTAGTAAGGTGATAGCTTTACTTTACACCCTTATAAGCTCGACAGAGATCTAAGAGTGTATATGCTTTGACTCATAATATATTTTCGATAGTCTACCTACAAAAATATTGCATCATTCATCATCATAAGTTCAAAATATTTTACTTTAATTAAAATATCTTTTCAGCAATTGTAGTAGTTATAGAAAACCAATTCCAACACGACTCAATAGGATAAACTTTGCTATTTGTAGTAGATAGTATTAGAGGCATTCGTGGGATATAATTTTTTTCATGGGATCGATACTCTACATTTCACTTTATTATTTGATCTACACTTGCACTTGCGTGGCAAATTAGAAAGAGCATAGCAACCCATCAGTACACTTCTTCATGGTACTGACTGGGTTCACAATGTATTCACGCGCGTGAATTAGAATATATTTGAAAAATAAAAAGAAAATGAAAGTACCTAATTGGTAATATTTAGACAGCCTCCTATGATGATTGTATTAATTACAAAAAATGATAATATATGATATGAGTGCTATATATGCATAACATATGATTTATAATCATTTTCAGAAAGAAAGAAATTTTTATTAACTAATGTTATTTTATTTCATATTTCAGAGTAAGTATGCATATTGTTCAAAATGTTGTTATGTTACTTTAATTTAAAAGCAAGATGTGCTCACGGAGCTGTATTATAACTCACCCTTATCATTGAAGAAACGTCCGCAACTATCATCCAAAAAATTTTAAATAAGTGGAAGAGTATAGAACGTGTACCGTAGGCATGACAATCCAAGAGAGGTATTTATTTGAACAATTATATTATTTTTCTCTTTAAATTCAATAGGAATTTTAGTGGCTTTTCAGTATATTAGAAATAGTTGTCATTAAAATTTTAATGCAAAAAACTTATAAATAATTGTACAATCTTATGTTGTCATCTAGTTAATTCAAGCATCTGGATCGGATAATGACAAATATAAACCCAAATATATCAACTATCATGTGTGGCTTTTATTTATAATAAATCATATGATATAATTTGAATATGATTACCATGTTTTTTTTATTTTGCTTTATAAAAAAGCAGAAATTTTTACTGGAGTGCATTGGTGCCACAACAACAATAGAAGACCACCTTGAGCACTTTGGATGTTCATCACTTTTTATATTGTCACAACAGTTGAGAGCTAGCAGATCTTCCCTGCTAACTATAAGAACTAACACAGCATGCAGGAATTAATATGAAATGGAACTTCAGCTTAAATCAGAATCTAGATAAATATAGGATTCTATTAAGCATGCAAATCATTTTGAACTTACTCAACAGCGGAGGAAGGTTTATCATTCTCTTCATATAACGCAACAAGAACTGCAGGAAGGAATCAACATAATATTACGTAAAAACTCACAAAATAACTTCAAGTAAGTTTCCAAGCTAACATAAGCATAAGCATAAGCAATCCTGTGAAAATAGATGAGAACCTTTAGTCAATGCATCAAGCACACCACTGGACTCGAGATATTTCCTGAAAGCCTCCTTTTTTGCTTCTTTCTCCTGCTTATCATCATATTTTTCTATCAACATTAAAATAAAGCAAAAAAAAAAAAAAAAAAAAAAAAAAAAACAAAAAAAAAAAAAAGGACAGAACCATGAGTGTGTATAAGAATACCTTCCTAACATTACCTTCATTTTTGTGTAGGCAGAAAAATTGGAGACAATTGACTTCACAGATTTATCCTTTTACGATTTCATAAAAGCAATTGATTTCACAGATTTATCCATTTGTTAGTGATTGCATTTTGTTTAACTAAAGTTCAGCTTAGCATGAAGAATAGCTACAATTTTGATGATCAATATGAGAACAAGTGTCAGAATTTGTGCTCCAGTAATCCATATTTGAACTTGTCGGGCACATGCTTATAATGAATTATATAAATGACTAAGATTTTTGTTAAAGATGAAGGCAATAAGCAAAAAAGAAAATACTATGTTGAGAAATTATTAAATGAGAGTTTGAAAGAATAAATCATTTTGGAAGCATAATGAATAATTAATGAGATATATTAAAAATTGATACGTTTGGAAGAAGAACATTACATCATTCTTATTTTTACAACTGAAAAAGTGATACATTTGTGTAACAAATACAAAGCAAAGTCACCATAACAGTAGGAGGGAAAGCCTAAAAGGAACAAATCACCAAAACGTGAAAGATGCGAGGTAATGCATAACTCAGGGCAAAATGGATCCGCCACATGTAGAAATCAACTGAAACTTCTCATAACCCCGTGGCCCCCTATTTGGAAGTGTTGAACGGCAGCTGCTGTGCATCATGCAGCAAAAATACAGGAAGATAAATCTAGATATAAAAGGAAGAATATATAAATAAATTTACATGATTCAACCTCCTATGCTCAGTGTGTGCAATCGAGTCGGAGAAAGGAGTCCATAACCCCACATTCAAAGGCCCAATTTTAATTTGTTATGCATTCTTCTGGCCCATACTTAAAGCTTTCTTAAGCTTACACTCTCCCTGTGACACCCAAAATCAATAATTAGGTTGGAATCATCTCCATTATAAATATGCGTTAGACTTCATATGAAGTTAAATGCGCTTAACTTTAATTCTCAGAGAAACTGCACCGTATTTTTTTTCCTTCGAAATTAAAACGTGTTATTAACGTGCTACAAAAATTAAAAACTCAACCAACTTCCACTGGTATATCTGATGGTGAGAACATTCTAAATGACAAATTTTGTGATATGATTATGATTTAAAGGATGCTACAAAACTTAAGCATACATTAGAGATGTCAACCCAATTAGAAATGTTAATTATATATACATTATTTACATTACCACAATCAATCTAACATAACAAGAAAAGCCCTGGAATTCAATAATTTTTCTAAATACTTTACCACTAAATAATTAACATCACTAATTGCTAATTAATTAACATTACCACTAAAAACCTCAATAGTAAAATAATTGAACCATTGAACATATCACAATTTTCTTCTAAATATTTCTTTTAATTATTCAAAATATTTAGCATCACCAGTAATAAAATTATCTAACTGATTTTCTTAGATTACCACTAATTATTATTACTAAATAGTTTGTTTAAAGTCGTTCAATATATTTAATATTGCAACTAACAAAATTTTCAAATTAATATTTCGAAATGATCACCAACTAATTTTTTACATTAAAACTAACTGGTTTTTCTAAATGATTTAAAATATTAATATCACAACTAACTATTTTTTCAAATAAATTCTATTTAACATACCTAAATTAAGTAAACATAGAAAAATACCAACATAAATTTTATTTAACATGCCCACATAAAACACATTTATCTAAAATATGAAAACCATAAAAACATATAATAAAAATTAAATGAATTGAATGACTTTAAACAAACTATTTAGTCCATGTGGTAGAGCTGTAAAAAACGGGTCATTGGTCGGGTTCGGGTCCAACCCGAAATTGACCCGACACTGTTCAACCCGACCCGAACCCGACCCGCTTTTACAAACGGGCCCGGGTCAACTCGAACCCGACCCGTTTCGGGTATATTTCATTAAATTTTTTTATTTAATATATTTATTTAAATCTAAATCAAATTAAGGTAAGATTTACTTCAATTAATTTAAAATAAATCAAGATTAATTTAATTTGGGCAATAATGTTTATAATTTTTTGAAATATCATTTACTTATTTCATAAAACCCCTTTAAAATCCTCCTAAATTAATTAAAATCGGGTCAAACCGGGTTGATTTCGGGTTTCCGGGTCAACTCGAACCCGACCCGGTTTTACAAACGGGTCGAAATCCCTAACCCGAACCCGACCCGGTTCGGGTTCAGGTTGACCCAAACCCGAAATTTTCGGGTCGGGTTTTCGGGTCGAGTCAAATATTGACACCTCTAGTTTGTGGTCAAACAAAATGGACACTTCTCGGCGGTTAACTACTTGCTTAAGCTTCCAATATACGAAGGAGAGACTTCAACAGGGTGTTACCGTGCTGAATCAAAGGGAGGGGGGGCATCGATGCATTGGATTTGGGAATTTGTGGAAAGAGAAAAGTTGTCGTGTCATTGGTTATACCCAACAACCCAGCAAAAAATCCCTTGGAATTTGTCAAAGTAATTGCATATTTTCTTGCAATGGCATCCATTGAAATAAGTGAAATAATCGATAAAATATTTAGGAAATAAGAGCTTAGATTAGTAAAGCAAAGACTAAGAATGGGATATGCCCTTTTTGTTATTTTAATAATAATAATTAATAATTAATAATATCAAGATGGAAAGAGATTTTTAGGTGTGATAGAATCATAGAATCATATATCTTAGGTTTGTTATATACAAGAATAAGATATATATAAGGATAAAACTTCTAGATCTAAATGTGAACTAGTAAGAAAAAGAAAGTGCCAAAGGAGTATTATCTGATAAAATGATGCCATAGAGATTTAAAGGTAATTTTAAAAAGCTATATTTATGTCAGATATGTAGTTTGAATTCGAGTCTTAAGCAACGAATAGGACATTGGTAGTCAAGTATAGCATGACATAAATGAGAATGATTGGTGTATGAAAAAATTAGAATAGATCTATTGAAATAATTATTTTAGAGGGATGGTGGAAATAGAATATCTTGAAAATAAGGTAGAGGATGATAGACGTAGATAGTTTGGATATGTAAAATGAAGAGTAAATAATACATAAAAAATATGAGAGAAAAAATTTGATGAACGAATAGAAAGGAAGAGAAGTAGACTAAAGATAACATGGACAAAGGTTATTCAAAAAGATTTGTGTAGAACAGGTTTAACCTTGTTGCGTCCTGGAGTATTCGTGGCCGGAGATAAAAATAAAGCTTAGCATCTTAGCGTTGTACGAAGATCCAACACACATATAGATAAAGAGATAGGGTGCAATATTTAAAGGAGACAAAAATTTTTACGTGGAAAACCCCTAAAAAAGGGGAAAAAATCACGGGGCCTAGCCCAGTTTGAATAAATCCACTAGTATTGCAGTTGATTACAAATGAGGCTCTTCCTTGGGGAAAGCCTTAGCTTGATGTTCATCTTATACAGTACATTACATGATGTGAATACAAATAATCACTGATGATGTGTTCGTTTAGTCTGAAAGACTGTAATCGGTAGGCGACGGAGGTCGGAAGGACTGTAGTCGGTGGCCTAGCCTAGTTTGAATAAATCCACTAGTATTGCAGTTGATTACAAATGAGGCTCTTCCTTGGGGAAAGCCTTAGCTTGATGTACATCTTATAGAGTACATTACATGATGTGAATACAAATAATCACTGATGATGTGTTCGTTTAGTCTGAAAGACTGTAGTCGGTGGGCGA